GCGAGGGGGGCCTGTGGACTATTTGTGGGGGGGGGTGGAAGACGGGTTGGAGGTCACCCCGCCGGACCATGTGGTGGGGGGCTGCTTTACTTTGGCGGCGCACCGGGGAGAAAACGATGGGGGCCGAAGACCTCTGTCTCCTCGCGCGTTGTTTGAGGATCGCGCCCCGTCCCCCCCTGTTTGTAGGGAGCGCCCCCTGCCCAGAGTGCATCAGGCAAGCCCCCCCTCAAGCCAAGCCCCCCCTTTCAAGCCCAGGCCCCCAGGCGGCGGCGTGGCGGGTCGTTCAGTTTGCCGCCATACGCGTCGAAGGGGACGTCTCCTCCCTCCGCCTCTGCCGCCGCTCCGCCTACCTCCTCCTCGCCGCCCCCGCCGCCGCACCCGGCGCGTCCACCGAGTGGCGAGCGCACTACTGGATCGGCGACTGGTGCGGCGCAGATCAGGCTCGCGGCAGCCCTCTCGCCAGCGAGGATGCCCTTCCTGGAGAGAGAGTGCTCCCTCGGGGAGGGGGCTGCTCACGCGCGCGGCCGCGGCGCCGACCCTGCTGCCTGCCTGCCTGCCTGCCTGCCTGCCGCCTGCCGCCTGCCGCCTGCTGCCTGCCGCCTGCTGCCTCCTGCCTGCTGCCTCCTGCCTGCTGCCTCCTGCCTGCTGCCTGCTGCCGCTGCCTGCTGCCTGCTGCTTGCTGCCTGCTGCCTGCTGCCTCGTGTGTGTGTGTGTGTGAAGCCCCGTGCTTGCTCTGCGAGTGCGTGTGCCCCGTCGTCCGCGGCGAGGATGTGTCACACGGACCGACATGCGGAGCAGATGGGAGAGAGATGGGGGGAGATGGGGAGGGATGGGGAGGTATGCGGAGATATGCGGAGATATGCGGAGATATGCGGAGATATGCGGAGATATGCGGAGATATGGGGAGATATGGGGAGATATGGGGAGATGTGCTGAGCAGGCGGGCGCGGCGGCGGTGCTGTGTGTGCAGCTCTGCGCGACCGTCGAGGCGGAGGTGGGCGGCCGCTGCTCGCAGGCGCGAGAGGCGCGGGGCGAGGAGTCGGCGCTCTTCCGCTCCCTCGTCGGCGGGTCGCTCGAGGAGCTCGAGGAGGCGCCGCCGCCAGGCGAGGGGGCAGAAGCTGCTCCGGCCGTGTACTGGCGCACGCCGCCAGCGGAGGCCGCGCCACGGCCGCGCTTGTTCGGCGTGCGAGGCGGGCGGCGCGGCTGTTTGGGCGAGCTGACGCAGCTCCGAGCCGTGGGGTGCGCGTCGCTGCTTGAGGACGAAGGATGCTACGTCCTCGACGCGCCGTCGGCGGGTGCGTCGGACGTCCTCCTCGAGATTCCCCGAGATTCCCCGAGATTGTCCGAGATTCCCCGAGATTGTCCGAGATCAGGCGCGTCGGAGGTCTTCCACCTCGCAGGGCCGAGCGCGCCGCTTTGCGACAAGGCGTACTTCCTAGACATGTCCGAGACACCTCCTAGACATCTCCGTCTGCTCTGTTGACGAGCGCCCCTAGGGACCTTCTCCTTTTTACCCATCATTTTTTACCCATCTCACAGTAGAGAGGTGTCCGTCTTTATGTATTTATTCAGGCGTATGCGCTGCTGCTCGCGCAGTCGCTCCGCTCCAACGACCGGCGAGGCGCGCGCGTGTGTACTAGTAGCGCGACACCGCACGGGGGGGGGGGGGGGGGGGCATCCCCCACGGCCAGGGGTCCTGGGGGTCCCCCTAAAAGGCTCCTAAAAGGTTCCTAAAAGGTTCCTGGGGGCCCCCCTAAAAGGTTCCTAAAAGGTTCCTAAAAGGTTCCTGGGGGCCCCCCTAAGGGGGCCCTGGGATCGAAGGGGGAATCGGGGTGTTGGCCCCAGCGCCCGTAATTGGCCCCGGGTAAAC